ATATATAATTTTACATTTTCACTCGCTAGGTTTTCAAAAAGCAGGGAAATTATAAAGTGTATATTATTAAATGCATCAAATCCAAAATAATATCACATATATAATCAATATAAAAGTTATTAATGCATTTTTCATTTCAATTCTTCAAAATCTGGTGGGCATTCTATAATTATGGCACATTTCAGTTTGCACTAGCTGCATTTTAAGTTCCCAATAGCCACATGTAAGTCATAGCTGCTGTAATGGATAGCACAGGTATACATCTACTCCATAAGGATACTGTAAGGATAAAATAAGACAATGCGTATAAAGGGCTTGGGATAGTACTTGGCAAATAATAAGCACTAAGAAAGAGTAGTGAAAACTGTTACTATTTCTTTTGAGTATTGACTACAACAGCCAGTGTGATAAGCTTCAGGGAGGTCAAAATCTGGCATAGCCTCTGGGCTGAGTAATTACAAATTTAAGAAGGTAGGACAAATCCATCGTTAACTGTTATTTCCGTCATCTTATTAGCACATGGATGGTATGAATGAAATGCAAAAATATGTTCAAAAGAGGACGATCACTTGAGATACCTTGCACTGACTTATTAAAGAAGGTCATTTTGCACTGGGACTTAATAAGTAAGTGGACTTTCATTAGGAAGAGATAGTTAGGAACCATGGAGAAAGCTAAGGAAAATATTTCAAAAGGATTAATAGGAGTAACAATCCAAAGTCGGGGAAGTGAAAAATATTTTCAACAAATAATGGAAAATTATTTGATGAGCACAGGGTTCATACATAAGAGTATACTTGGATGAGTAAATTCTATAAAGCACTAGGACCCTTATTTAGTGTGAGAGGAAATGGAAAAAAAAAAGGCAACAATTTGGGAATCAAAGATCTAATTCATCCAGGCTCTACAACTGCCATGAATATGTTTTCTTATTTGGGGCAGGTCAGCTTATCCCATTGGTTTTGTTTGAGTCTTAAACAGTTTATTGTTGTGGCTGCTGCTTTTGTTGTTCTATTCAAACTTAAGGTATTTCAGGATGGGAGTGACATAATTGAAGCAACACCTTAGAAATTAATATAGGTTGACTTAAAAGTAAAGACATTCTAACAAAAAAAAAATCATTTGGGGTATCATTTAAATCATCCTGACATCCAAAGTTAAGGATTTTAATATTGTAGACCTAACAGTTGGAAGTGGGAAGGTTATAGAAAATTAGTAAAGAAGAATGGATAGAACTTGGGTTGAGGATGGAAAGGGAGAAAAGGGGACATATGAACGAATGCCCTTTGGAATCTGGAAAAAAGAGAATTTAGTATTTGAAATAGAAATGGAAGAACTAGGAAAATAATTTTGTTGAGATAAGGGAAGGGATATGATTTTTTAAAAGTTAGCAATTAGATAGAATTTTTCTGACTTATTTCATTTAACATAATATCCTCTAAGTCCATTTATGTTGTTGCAAATGATAAGATTATGTGTATTTTTATTGCTGAATAATATTCCCATTATATATACCACATCTTCTTTATTTATTCATATATTGATAGAGACCTGGGTTGCCTCTATATCTTGGCTACTGTAATAATGTTGTAATTAACATAGAGGTGCATATACCTTCAAATTAGTGTTTTATTTTTTTCCCCAGATAAATATCCAGAAGTGAAATTGTTACATTATAGAGTAGTTTTAGTTTTATTTTGTTTTTTGAGGTGCCTCCATACACTATTTTCAATAGTGGCCACATCAATTTACAATCCTATCAACAGTGCATAAGGGTTCCCATTTCTCTACATCCTCTCCAACACTTACCTGTTGACTTTTCTATAATCGCCATTCTAAGAGGTGTGAGGTGATATTTCATTGTGATTATGATTTGATTATCTTGATGATTAGTGATGTTAAACATTTTGTCATGTGTCTAATAATGTATACCTTCTTTGAAGAAATATCTATTCAGGCCCTCGGCCCATTTTTTTAAATCCCCACCTGAGGATATGTTTAGTTTTTTTTTTAACTGATTTTAGAGAAATTGTAAAGAAGAAGAAGAAGAAGAAGAAGAAGAAGAAGAAGAAGAAGAAGAAGAAGAGAGAGAGAGAGAGAGAGAGAGAGAGAGAGAGAGAGAGAGAGAGAGAGAGAGAGAGAGATCAGTGTGATAGAGAAACATCTATAGTTTGCCTCCTATGCACCCTGTCTGGATATCAAACCCATAACCTGGATATGTGCCCTGACCTGGAACTGAGGAATTGAACCCGTGACCTTTCAATGTATGGGACAACACAGCTCATTTCATGTGCAGACGCTGTTCCATCAGCCCTTGGTTCTTCAGGAGGAATTGTTTTATATGTAGGTGTATATTTGTTATGCTCATGAGAGGAGGTGAGTTCTAGGTCTTCTTACAACCTTAAGTTCAGGGTTATCTTCACCTTAATCCTTTACACTTTCAGTAAAATAAAACATGGTTGTGAATTTATACTCCTGGTTCAAGTAAACCTGAAAAACCTTACCATGAACTTGCTGACTCAAGTCTGTTATAGCAAAGACTTTTAAAAAAAACACACACACTTGAGGTTGTGTTGCTGAATTCTATAATCCTAACATTAAATACCAACATCATTTCCTCCATTTTATTACACAAACTTTGGAAATCATCAAGAACCTTTATAATTATTTCTAATTATAACTTTTGCATATTTGAATTGAACAAAAGATAATGAATTAATGTTAACTCTTTCAATTTTCTTTATGGGCTTTGATTCTAGTTGGTTTCAAAAATAGTAAATGATATTTACCCCCTTCCTAGCCATAATATGAAGACTACAAAGAAAAAAGTTGTTTTATTCTTAGAAAAGTCACAAGCAGCTCTTGCCTGTAGAGGCAGGAAGTGAAATCCATATGCAATGCTTCTGTCAGCAAAGACTTTGTAGAAGAGAGTTTATAATAAATATTCACATCTGCTGCTTTGGACACTTTAATCCATCCTAAGGATCTTTGCTGTGTCAGGCTTTGTTCTGGATGAAGAAGCCCAGTAGTTATAAAGGTTTGCAAATAAGCTATATTTATCATGGTTAGCTTTCTTTTTATAACTTTTCTCTGTTTTAGAGGTATCCATGACAATTTTTAGTATAATTTGTGGATTAAATATTTCACTGTGACTCTATGGTGTTATCATATAGAATTTCCATCATGGGATAGACAAATTCTATTTTTACAACATATCACCTACTTATAATTTGTCAAGAAGTCATCATCCATAGCAATGCTACCTGGATATGGAAAACATAACTCAAAGTGCTTGTGATCAAATGCTAGCTCCCTCCATAGACGGGTTTCTTAGTTTTTCCAAACCCCTTTTTTCATCTATATAATAGAGTTACTATTATTTTTTATTATTAGATTATTATAGGAATTATTTAAAATTATCCATGTTATGTCTCTAAATCTAGTATCTATCATGTTGGATTTAATGAATTTTAAATGTTTACTAAAATGGTACTATATGCCTTTTAAGTTGTGTTAGATAATCCCATGAATCATACTAATAATATATTTGTTTAACCCATGTACTGAATTTATGTAAAGATAATCTATTGCTTTTACTTACCTCCATATTTCCTGATAGTTTGCTACTGAATTTTTTAAAAATAAAAGCAGTTAGAATTGAATTGCTGATATATTTTTTCCTATTACAAAATTATCCACCAAAAAAATATGGTATGAAAATCATGAGTATATTTTGTGTTGCATTTAATTCCCTTATATAACAAACATTTAATTAAATTTTGAATTTTAAATTAGATTAATAAAAACCAAAGTTATCTTTAAAATGGAGGTATTTTCACTTCAACCTCAAAGAAATTTGTTGTGTCAGTTTTTAAAGAATAAATGCATTATTATAGTCTTAAGTAACAATGTAGTATAATTATAATAAAACAGCTTGCATATAATACAAATTTTAACATCTAAATAAATTATATACTATATATGTGTATATCTTTGCCATGGATATATTTGGAGCTTGTGTTTTTTAACAATTTCTCACAAATAATTTACTTAAAAAGGAAAGCTGTGTTGCTTAGTGCTTTCAACCTCATCTCCTCAATATTATTTATTAATCCCAAATTTAAGGAGACTAGCAAAGCATTTGATGACCTCTGCATATAAAGTCAGTAACATAATAGGTTTTACTTCCTCATTTTAATTTTTTATAATTTAATCATCCACATGTCTTAATTTTGGCTGGAATTATTTTCTATATAGATAAGACTTAGTTCATATTTAATGACTGGTATCTAATACAAAATGAGTTTGTTGAATTAAAATTAAGACAGAATATATATTGGTCTCACCAATATGTGAAATCTAATGAACAAAATAAACTAATGGACAAAATGGAATCAGAAGCATGTACATATGGGACAGACTGGCTGGTGCCCAAGGTGCGGGGGGATGGGTGAGTGGATAAAGAAGGTGAAAGGAGCCTGGCTGGCTTGGCTCAGTGGATGAGTGTTGACCTATGAACCAGGAGGTCATGGTTTGATTCTTGATCGTCACAAGCACAGGATGCAGGCTCCATCCCCAGTAGGGGGCATGCAGGAGGCAGCGGATCAATGATTCTTTCTCATCATTGATGTTTCTATCTCTCTCTCCCTCTCCCTTTCTCTCTGAAATAAATAAAAACATACTTAAAAAAAAGTGAAGGAATCAGCTAAAGAACATATATGCATCCTCATGGACATGAACAATAGTTGGGTGAAGGCCAAGGGAGGTGGGAGGTGAGGGTGGGTGGAAGTGGACAAAGGGGGGGGGGAGGAAGTGGGACAGCTGTGAGGGTGGGTGGAAGTGGACAAAGGGGAGGGGAGGAAGTGGGACAGCTGTAATTATGGCAACATTAAAATGTTTTAACGCAAAACTATATATTCTATTGCTTATAAACTGTGACTGAGGAAATAAAACTCTGGCATTCCCCTCTTTCTCTCTCCTCTCTCCCTCTCTCCCTCCAGGGCGAATATTAGCTCAGGCGAGTGGCAGTGGCGTCATTCATTTGCTTGATCTTCAATCAGGGCAGATTTACAAACTGATGGGCCATGAGAATGAAGCTCACACAGTGGTGTTTTCTCGAGACGGGAAGAGTCTGTTTTCCGGAGGCTGTGATGGCACCGTTCGGGTGTGGACCTGATGGCCAGCACCTCCCACTGCAGGGGCATTCCCTGTAAGGCTTGGCAACGCCTCATGTAGTCCCAGACCAGTCAATACCCGGTTAAAAATGCCAGCCGGTAACACTTTCCCTGTGCTTTAAAACATGCTTTGAATATATATTTTCATGCACATACTGTTACCAATAATAAAACAAAACTTTCTGTTCATTTATCTGTGTCTGGGTCTCTTTTTTCTTTCTTTCTTTCTTTCTTTCTTATTTTTATAAGATTTTTAGAAACAGAGCTTGTTTTGCTAGAGGCTTGGAAGAAACAGCTTTACAATGACGCCTAATGACAGACCAGATGAATTACAGGAGATTGATTCTGAATGTTAGAGAACCGCAGGAGAACCAGGGTACTTTCCTAAAAAATCAAATGTAAGCTCCAGGAAGAGCCGAAGTTTAACCGTGTAGCGCAGGGAATGTGTTCCTTCAGCGGAAGAGCCCATTAGCATTGGACCCATACATTTTTTTTTGCAGATTCTTTGACAATCGTTATGCCTTATCTAGTAATGATAATCGGAGACTGCAGCTGGCTTAAATCTACATGCAAGGCTCTTCCCGAACTTTCATCTCTGCAGCCCATCCAAGAATGCATCAAATATCGTTGTTTGTTTTGTTATTGTAATCCAATGCAAATAAGTCAATAAGTATCTCGCACGTAAAGTGCCTTTCCCCCCCCCTTCCCCACGCCCCCTTACCCTCACCCTTTCCCCCCGCCCCCTGGCCCGTGCATGCATCAGCTGTATCAGGTGCCAAGGCTTAGGGAGAACATCAGCCTGGTCTAACGCAGCAGCTGGGGATTGCGACCCTGATGGGCTCAGGAGCCAGTTGGCGCTGTCCGTGGTGCTGAGGAATTCCCGGCTGCCGGCAGCACGGGCTCCAGATCAGCATCTGCAAACTGCTCTCTCGGCGATGCAGAGACCCAGCGAAAGTTGCTCCTCTCCTTCGCGTCCACCGTTAGTATTTTCCGGTGTCTGAGGAGGGATTCAAGCACCGTACCGCGGACGGTGCCGATGCGGTCGCCGGCGGAGCGGGTTTCAGGCGGCAGCATGCTGTTGCTGTTTGTGATCCACAGAGCCTAGCCAGAGCCCCTCTCCCGCCGTGGCAAACACTGTGCAAGTGAACTCATGTGTGCAGGAGGCGGCAGCAGCCGGGGGGATTTCATAGAAGGATCTGAGGGGAAAACGCTAACCACAAGTTCAACATGATTCTGCTACTTGGGTCTGGATGTCCACAGGACCGGCATTGCTCCTTGCCTTGAATGCTGAAGACGGGTCCAGAGCATCTTTCCTATGTGTGTCTGCTGTGTTGCTCCCTGGAAGGGCGGGAGACTGCTTCTGGACTGTGGTTTGAAATGAGAGGTAGGGAGGATGGATCGCCTTTCATTCAAGCCTGAAAATGCATTCTTTGGATAATTAAAGAGGAACTGCTTTTCTAAAACATACCTGCTCTTTGAGTTCATCTTGGTCTATGACCCCCCCATCACCACTATTAACCTCCAGAGTGATTAGGTAAGTGTATCTTATGACATGAGTTATGTTTGTTTTCTCCAAGAAATAAATGCAGTCGTTTTAAAGGATGTGTAGCAATGTGGGGAGTGAGGGAGGGGGAAAGTTTAGCTGAAAAGTGTTCTTCCATTCAGCACTGTTTGCTTGCTTATTAAAAATCTTCAGATAAATATTGTATTGGATTTATCTAATATTTTTTCTCTTAAATAGTGCCTTAAACTGCACTAAAGCAGCTCAATTATGAAGAGGATTTTTAAAAAATAGCTTAAGAACTTTGTTATATTAAAAAGAAAACCATGTTTTTCTTCATGCAGATTTTAAAAGGTATTTCATATAATAAAAGCATGCTTAATGTTTCTATAAAGTGGATATTATACCCCTTTTTACCTTTAAGTATACATTTACTATAATCTGACATTAATGCCTACCTGTAGCTTATAGAGATCATTTCTGTCTATGTCCTTTGGTAGCAGAATGATATGGGTATTTTATATGGTTTATTTTGCATGTATTAATAGTTACTACTAGAATACTAAAAAGAAGCACAATATATTTTTTCTTCCAGGATAAACTTTATATATATATATATATATATATATATATATATATATATATGATGTATAAAATGCATGCCTTAATTAATAAAAACACATATGCTTTTTTCAGAAGCTTCTGTAATGTTTGTAGCCTTTGTAGTAATTTAAGAGAGAAAAAATGCTTTGTCAAAGGGAGCTTCCAGACTCTCAAGTAGAATTATAGGTTTGCATTTTTTTATTCTGTCATGACTCATTATTTTTGACATATTTCAAAAGAAATTTATCTCACTTATCATTACATACCCAGAAGGATTTAGAGAACAGTTTTCCTCTTAAGGGAGGGCATGAACATACCTCCTTCTATTTTATTATTGCTAGAATTTGCATATCTAACTTAAAATGCAAATACTATCAGTTCATGAAGTTCCCTAGTGCCATCTTCACCTTATTTAAAAGTATCATCTGCATGTTAGGCTGAAAAGTGATGGTTTATCATTGCTCCTATTATAATCTGAAAATAAATCAATAAATAATATTCATACATCATCTGAAAATGTCCAATATACAATTTTAGTGATGGTTGGCATAAAGCCAAAATCATTTAAATAAACACATGAACTATTTGACTTTTCCTTATATATTATTCCCTCAAGTCAGTTTCCCCAGAGTTTTTATATGAGTTAGTCACTCTAAACATTTAAATGAGTGCTGCTAGTGGGCAGTGCTCCACACAAGCAGTAATACTATGTGAAGTTTACAAGAGTCATTGCCACCAAACTAACAAAGCATCTTTTCTATGGATGGCAACTCCTCATTACCATTCTATGAAACCCTTAGTTTTACTCTGGCATTTTTATGCAAAATATCTTTGGCATGTCAAAAGAGAGAGATGTTTTCAAAATCTTTAAATGGTATTTATTGTATATTAAAGTGATACATTCAAATAATGTTACACAAATTCTAGATTCCAGTTGCTATAAAAAATTATCCGATACATTTTTCCTGCCCACTGGGTGCTTACTCTCTGAGTAAAATTAAGGTGTGGACAGTAATACAAATATATGTAGTTTTAATTAATTATTTTAAATACAAGGAGTTCTCTTGTATCCTCTGTTATTTTAAATCTTTCTTTCTCTTATTCACTGTAGAATAGTTATCTATTTTCCTTCTTGTCTATACTTCAAAATCCAGATTTAAATTTACTGAAACAAGAAACCCATCTTGGGACCATTGTTGTTCTCTAACTATGGGCATAAAGAAGGCAGAAGGCCTTTATAATAGCTCCATTCCAATTACAACTAACACTCAATTGTTGGTTTCTTCCCTTTCTCTTAAAAGTAGAATTTTTCTCACTGATCTCATGAGTTTTTGTACAGATGGTTATAATGCATATACATTCTATCACTGACTGGTACAGTTTAAAGAATAATAGAAAGTGTAAATTCAAGTATTCTGAGTTATTTATAAGTAAACATTTGTAAAAATCACCCTTTGAGGTTCAGTAAAATAATCTATTACAAACTAGACAAAGCCAGACCTTTAGAAATCAGAAGGTGACATCAAGCTTAAGGTTCCCATGGGAAAGAACTCCATATATGTTGTCAGGGACCAAGTCTCTAGACTTCATAATAAAGCATACATAGTTGCATGAACTTAGTCTGCTTCTAGTCTATCTTCCAAACAGATGCCAAATAAACAGGTTAAGAGCATAGGGTTAAAGAAGTCTCCATTTTCTTTATATATGTCCAATTACTTTTTAAAAATATTTCTTTCCAGCCTACCCCTCCCCATGGAAGGAGCCGAGTATTTCCAGTAGTAGGTGCACATCCAGAAGCCTTGGAGGAGGGGGATGGCTCTTCATATCCATGAAGCTTGCATACTTCTGTTGGTCATCCCTGGATTGGTCACCTCTGCTGCCATCAGTCATGAAGACTACCCTGCTGATGAAGGGGACCCAACCTCCAGCAACGACAACCTGATCTTCGATGACTATCGAGGGAAAGGGTGTGTGGATGACAGCGGCTTTGTGTACAAATTGGGAGAACGATTTTTCCCAGGGCATTCCAACTGCCCTTGTGTCTGCGCTCTGGATGGACCTGTTTGCGACCAGCCAGAATGCCCTAAAATTCACCCAAAGTGTACTAAGGTGGAACACAATGGATGCTGTCCTGAGTGCAAAGAAGTGAAAAACTTTTGTGAATATCATGGGAAAATTTACAAAATCTTGGAGGAATTTAAGGTATGAGTTACCATCTTAATGTTTATTGAGTACTAACTTTTCACCCCACATACTTAGTAAATTACTACATTAAAATTAAAGCTGGGAAGACATTTGTAAATTTCCCTTTAATTTACAACAATAACCAAGTTAGAATATGTACCACTGTCGTCAACAAACAGCTAATTGGTTTGTTGAGCAATACCTAAAGGGTTTCACAATAATTTTTTTCTTTCAGAGATATTTGTGGCATGATGACATCTTTTTTTCCCTTAAAATTTTCTTCTGTGTTATTACAAACTATATTTTCTGATGGAAACACTTAATTGGAAACTATGTGTCTATTAAGTTAATGTTTACATTTTATAAGATTTTTTGATGTGGTTTATTAGCCTGTATTTGGAGTCATTGAACCATAAGCTAGAACTATCTATTCAATGGAAGAAACTGCAATGCTAGAGAGACACAGTTTTGAGCTATGGTCTTCATATTCACTCATTGGATCTACTCTTGTAGAGCACAGTCCCCATTCTGTTCTCTGGTCAGTATATTTTTTGTTTTGTTTTTTACTTACAGGATCCCAAAGTGAACTGGAATTTTATCATAGTCCATTGTAAAAAGTGGTTTTAAAAAAAGACTAATATTTTCAGCCTCCATGGAATTTCCTGGCCTTTCTTATATCCTTCTATTATATTTTCAAGTAACTTGGAGCTCATTTTTGTTTCCTTTTAGAGTCTCTTTTTAGAGTCTCTTTTCTCCAACGGCTAGTTTTAATTAGGGGTTTTTACAAGCCAGATTGGAGCCCTGAGGGTATAAATTAATGTATTAAATTATTCTCCTGAAATGCAATGGCAGTTTATGCCATGGACTGCCTGTCATCCTGATGACTTGATTTAAAAGATTTTAATTTCATGTAGCCAAGTTCAGTGACAAAGTCTCAGAACCTCATCTACAGAAGAAGATAGAGCTAGCTTTCATTATGGCTGTGTATGTGCGAGAAGAGTGCTCAGTCATCGGCCCTGACCAAACTCCTCCACAAGAGTCAAATGGGAAAAGAAGTCAATGTGTGGAAGAAAGGTTTTAACTAGTAATGATAAGAGCATTCTGTATATTAGCCTTTCATTGCATTCAGTCCATTTCAGATTGTAGGTATAAACTAGTTGCGAGTTACCCAAGGAAAACCAATCATTCTACATAGATTTCTAAGGACAGGAGAGGGCTTTTAAAGATAATTATCACATTCAACCATCTTACACATAAATGTTATTCTAGACTTTTCTCTTTCATGTATTAAAATACGTTGTGGCTCAACATTGAGAAGAGGCCTGAGACTCTAGTCAAGTTACCATTACTGACGTCAAATAATAGTTTAGAATGTAATCCTATATAACAAAAGGCTAATATGCAAATTGACCGAACAGCAGAACGACTGGTCGCTATGATGCATACTGACCATGCGGGGGCAGACACTCAACACAGGAGTGCCCCCTGGTGGTCAATGTGGAGTGCTGCTCAGCCAGAAGCTCTGAGCCAGGTTCATAGCTGCTAAGTGCAGCGACAGTGACAGAAGCCTCTTCTGCCTCCACAGCAGCATGAAGAATGTCCAACTGTCAGCTTAGACCATGGGAAGTGGGCCTAAGCTGGCAGTTGGACATCCCCCTAGGGCTCCTGGACTGCGAGAGGGCGCAGGCTGGGCTGAGGGACCCCACCCCCACCCCCGCCCAATTGCATGAATTTCATGCACTGGGCATCTAGTACATTTAATAATATCTTATGGTCTCTAAAATATTGGATACATTTTGGCATTGGCAAAATTAGGTTTACAGTTGTAAGTATGTGAAACATTTTATTTCTGTATTAGAAGCCCGATGCATGGAGATTTGAGCTAGAATGGGATTTCCTTTCCTTGGCTGCTGGCACCACCTTTCCACTCTGGCCCAGCCCTTTTCTGCTCAGGTCCCGGAGCCGCCTCTTTCTGCTCTGGGAGCCATATCTATCCGCCCCAACCCCGCCTTCCCATGCTGCCCAGAGGCTCTGAAAGACTGAGGGTGGGCAGAACACCTGCATCATTGCCATGGCAATGACACAAGCATCTGTCCCCCAGTCTCTCAGAACCTGTGTATGCAAATTAACTGACATCTTTGCTGGGTTAATTTTCATATCGTTCCTGATAGGCTGGTAAGCATAGAGGAGGTATGGTCAATGTACATGTTTGTCTATTATTAGGTAAGATTATTTATTTATTTATTTATTTATTTATTTATTTATTTTTACCTACTTTTGCCCACCCCTGTAGATCCTGCTATAGTCATTATATAGCAAGTTTTCCTCCTAACTCTCTATGTCATGAGATCTTTAAATGTGATTAAAAAAAAAAAAAGATGCCCCTTGTCTGAAACCATTTAAATATTATCTAAGGAAAATTTTTAAGAATATGGAGCTGAGATCAAGAAAGTTTACTTGTCCAAATTGTCGAGTTATTTTACCTGTTTCTAAATACTGCCATTCTAACTGAAGTCTACAGAACCTCTCAAAGTACTTTGGCTCAAGAGCCAGATAGACCTGGATTCAAATCCCAAATGATTACTTAGAATCAAGACTTTGGAAAGAGTCCTTAAACTTTTTTGAGCCAGATGGCTAAAAAATGACCATCATAATAATTACTTTTCTTGGGAGGAGATATTGGAAAGATTTAATGAGATAATTTATGCAAAGTTAGCAGCCTTGTAATGACTGGTACACAGTAGATATTGAATAAATGGTGTTCTCATTCCTCTAAACTCTAATGTCCAGGGATTGACTCTAAGTTGTAAATTCTCTATGACTTGACCTACATTTTATAATGGAAGACCAATGTTAAAAGTCATTCAATTGAAGGAATTCCAAAACCTTTTTTTTTTTTTAATGTTCTACTTATCTATGTGAAGAATACACACCTAAGTAAATACCAGGCATAACCTATTATCTTGATTTTCTTTCATTTCAGCTTGCAAGCAACAAGTAATTAATTTTTAAACGCGTAAGAAACTTTCACATAATAATCTTGTTATGGAGGTTATATTATACATATAATATCATCATCTACAAGAGTGTATTGAAATGTTTAATGTGTAGGATACTATAGGTGTATCCTATATTGGAAAGTAAGATATCTGGAAGATACAATCTCCACTCATGGAAAAGCATGGACCATGTGGAGTGAGATGGGGTAGGGGGTTAGCTCTCTAACTATGTTACTGTGAAGCTCAGCACCAAGAAATGTGGTGTCAGAAGCTTACCAATACGCTATAAGGTTTTAGTCAACAAACTTTCTTTTTCTTCAGGATGGTCAAAATTGAGCCTGTTTTAAACAAAGTAATTAAAATTGATCTGGAGAGATTAAAGTGCCAAAAAGGGAACTGCTTGAGTAGAATCAGAGATTGGGGCAAATAAAATCTGCAGAGATAGGAGGGAGATGAGAATAACAAGAAAGAAGCTGGATCTTATAAAACCCTATTATAATGAGAAAAGTAAATTTGTACATGTTTTGGACAGTGGAGAGAGGAACTTGAATACTGGGCCAGTATATTTAGATTCAGTCTAAAGAATAACAAGAAATAAAATGCAGGTTGTTGTGCATAGAGATGACTTAGTTCAGTATGGTTTTTTAAGCCTTGTAGCCAAATAGAATTGAATAAGAGGTGAAAATTAATTGATTGCTAAGGAGGTGAGACTGTTGCAGAAAACAAAGAATGAGATGACCAGCATGCATAAGTGCACAAACATTCAGGACTGTGTTTAGGATAAAAATCTAAATTGCCTAGTATAGCCTAGATTCTACTCATTGACCTCTCCAAGTATCTCTCTCAGTGGCTTCTCTTCCCTGTTTGCTTGTACATGCTGCCCCATACTCTTTTCGCCATCACACTCTTGTATAAATTCCAGCAGATTACTTCAAAATTCCATTTAAATCTCATCTCCACCAGAAAGCTCTCTCTGGTTGTCCTACTGCAGGGTTTCACACTTCTCCTGTGTCATTGCACAGCAGGCTGGGCACAGCATTAAAACCAGAACAGTAATCCTAGCCAGGCACTGCTAAAACCTTTATGCATATTAACATGCATGTCATTTCATAACATCAGTATGAGTATTACACTTTCTCAGCATTGTTTTACAGACAAAACCAAAGCATCAAAGCAGAGTCGCTTGCCCAGCCTCCTACAGCTCTACAGTGAATGAAGTAGGATCCCCACCAAGCAGCCTGGCTGCAGAATCTCAGCTCCTCACCACCTCTGCTGCTTTCATGGCACTACAGTAATGTAATTTGACACAGCCTGTCTCTCCTGCTAGACAGTGAACCCGGTAAACCTAGAGATAGAATTTTCTTTATTCTCTTCTACTCCCAACCCTGGCAATACATGAACCACAGTGCAGGCGTCCAACACATTTTTGGTGAAGGACATCCGAGTCAAGTCATAATTGAACTCATTGAATAAAGAAGTTAATTAGAGTGTTTTTAAAATACCTTCGTTTCTTTCTGTTTGTATGTTGATCTCTTCATTTTAATTAGTGAAAGAAAGTGCTCAATGTTCCGATAAAGAGTACTCTATTGGCCCCTAAAGATGACCCATCTTGTTTACGGGACACCTATTTCCATCCTGTGGCTTTCTATTGTACTTGTCTCTTCCCTCTTTCTAAGCTAGGCTCATCTTAGAGTCTGCCTCCTTCCCAGGTCATAATGACCACCTACTGTTGTGGGTGTGCTGCCTCACTCTACACAGTTGCAAAACATGTCTCTCCTTCAATCTTCTTTGATCACCAAATTCAAATGTAAATTGAGCCACAAGTGTCACCAATATGAAGAGCAATGTTATGTATAAAGGTTGGATTTATTTTTCAACATGATAGATGCAAGCTTTGAAAATAGATTTCTCTACTTTTTTGAAAACTCTAAATTTTCCAGTGTTCCAGTAATATTGTATTAAGATAAAGGTCACTTTATATAGTAGGGTCTCTCATCTTTCTTTTATGTGTACCCAGGC